TTGAGGAAAGGGAAGAGATTGTGTCCGATATACTATTTCTCAATTTTTTTTGTATTGATCTCTCAATTCAACATCGAAGCTTCATTGTAGTCTTTGATGCAATCATGTTTAGATAAAGGAAAGCTAAAATAGTAATGATATTTTTCATTTCATTGTGGATGCAAAATAGAATGTAAGGGGAGCATTTTATAGAGGCTACCTCCCTTGGTACAGTTGTAAGATAGATTTGCTAAATTAAAAAGGAGACAAGTGGCATACAACACACCTGCAAGAATATTCTGTTTGTTATAACAGAATTAAAAGATAAATGCAGAACAGAAAAGACAAAAGCAGGGAAAAATAATATTTACACACTAATAAAACAAAACACTAGTGTAAGTCCAAGAGGCTCTGAAAGATAGAAATTGGGTTAGAGCCATAAATGAAGAGATGGTGACATTAGAGAGAAACTCAACTTTGGAGATTGTCAATAAATCCAAAGATAAGAAAGTTGTAGGGTGCAAGTGGATATACATGGTGAAGTGTAATCTGATGGGACATTAGATTGATACAAGGCAAGAAAGGTGGCCAAGGAATACACAAAGACCTATGGAATTGACTATGAGGAGACAATTGCCTTTGAAGCAAAAATAAATACAGTAAAAATCATTCTCTCTCTAGCCGCGCACCTTGGTTGGGATCTACAACAATTTGATGTTAAAAAGGCCTTCCTGCATGGAGACCTGGAAGAGGAAGTCTACATGGAAACTCCCAAAGGATTTGAATCTCATGATGGGAAGAATAGAGTGTGTGGGTTGAAAAAGGCGTTGTATGGCTTCAAACAATCTCTTCGAGCATGGTTTGGATAATTTACTCAAGCCATGAAGTCCTTGGGATACAACAGAGTCAAGGTGATCATACTCTTTTCATAAAACTCACTTTTCTCCTTGTGTATGTAGATGATATGATCATTGCAGATGATGACGAGATAGAGAAACTAATTCTAAAATAAAAGTTGGCAACTGATTTTGAAATAAAGGAGTTGGGAAAGCTTAAAATATTTCCATGGAATAGAGGTTGCCTAATCTAGAAAAGACATATTTATTTCTCAAGGAAATATATAGTTAATCTTTTGAAGGAGACAGGAAAACTAGGATGCAAGACCATAGGGGTACCTGTTGGACAAAACCACAAGATTAGAAGTGAAAAAAGTCCACTCGTAGAGAAGTCCCAACACTAGAGATTGGTAGGGAAGCTAATAAATCTATCTCCCACTTGGTATGATATTTGCCTATGCTAATATTGGATATTAGTAAGGGTGGAAAAACGGGCCACAGTTTGTAGGCCGACTCGTTGGCTTGTCAAAAATTGGCCGACTGAACTATTTTTAATGTAAGTTTAAATAAGTCACTTCAGATTTATTATGTACAGTATGTGATTTCTTGTGCAATAAATCTATTGTGCATTTGATTTATTTTATTATATGTAATTTGAGATTTGTTGTATAATAAGTATGTTACAATAGTTGTGAATATTATTATAATTACATATCTATTTTGTTATGCAACAAATTTGAGAATTGTTGTACAGTAAATTAAATTAAATCAGTTGTAATTTGATATTTTTATATTACTTAGGTACACTAATTTATGTAAGTCCTTTAGATATTGAGAAAAAAATATATTGAAAGAATAACTCAAAATAAATATGCAAAAAAAAATTCCCTTTTTTTTTATTATTTTGGCGAGTTAGACCTAAATGGACTGGACTAGCCCATTTTTCCATCCCAAGATAATAGTTTCAATTGGACCATATATGCTGAACAACTTGAGGTCCTTTTCTACAACAAAGGAAAGGTGGGAGTATCTTAAATTGATTTATAATCAAGACAACACTACATGTCGCTCTCAGCTAGAATTAGAGATTAGAAATTTCAATCATGGCCATATCTCCATTGAGCAACAATATTATTCTGGTTTGTTGAATTTATTGAGTTAATATTCTTATACTATTTATGCTAAGGTGCCAAAGGAAGTTTTGTCGATGCTTCAATCAGTTCATGGGGAGAGTTAATGTAACCAATTTTTGATGAAGTTGTGGCCATAATTTGAGACTAAACAGGTTGGTTTACTTAACTAAAATCCAGTTCCATCTTTGGATATTTGTGTTAGGGTGTTTTTGCGAGAAGTATAGAGGTTAGCTACTAAAGCTAGGATCAGTCAGAAACGGATGAATTTAGAGACTATAACTATTGCTTATGCATCACAAGGATGTGAATGATTTGTGTTCAGTTTCAGGTTGATGTATGTTTCTTGGCAAGGATATGATTTCATGGAAGAGTAAGAAACAATCTCAAGTTTCTAAATCATCCATTAAGTCAAGATAACGAGCCATGTCTTCCACTTGCTTTGAGATTATTTGGCTTCGTGAGTTATTGTTAGAACTGTTGGGAATATGGCTAAATATTTTTAGAAAAATAAACTAATTTTGATAGGAATCTTTTATTTATGTTTCAAATATTTAGATTTAATTTGTTTTTGATTATTTTAGAGTTTGTTTTCTTATTTTTAGAAAAGGATAATATCAATATTTGATTCTTGTATAACAATTTTTCTCTCTCTCTATATAGATAGCTCATAAATAAAATTGGGTCATGCTCCTCTGATAAAAATGCATCTTTACAAGAAAAAACCATCATTGGTATTAGAGTGACGTTCTTACAATCTGTGGAGATGGAAGTCGAAACAAACTTTTCGCGAATTTTTCCACCAATCTTTGATGAAAATTTTTCACCTATCTTTGATGGAGAAAGTTATGATCTTTGGGCGATGAAAATGGAGGCATACCTAAAGGCTTTAAATTTAGATCTCTAGGAAGCCATACAAGAAGATTATAATATTTCTGTGATGAAAATAGAGGCATACCTAGAGGCTTTAGATCTCTAGGAAGCCATAGAAGACGATTATAATATTTTTGTGTTACTAGACAATTCACCATAACCCAAATGAAAATTCACAAAGGCAGGAAAATCAAGAAGGAAAAGGCAAAAAATTATCTATTTGTTTGTGTCTAACAAAATGTTTTCACTAGGATCATGAGTCTCAAATCGCTAAATGCAATGTGGGATTTAGGATCATGGCTCTCAAATCGCCAAAAGCAATTTGGGATTACCTAAAAGAAGAATATGTTAGAGATGAAAGGATTCGAAACATACAAGTGTTGAATTTAATGAGAGAATTTGAGTTACAAAGAATGAAGGAATTTGAGACAATCAAATAATACTAAGATAAATTGCTTGATATCACTAATAAGGTACAATTACTAGGAACACAATTTCTTGATTCTAGAATTGAAAAAATTCTAGTAACTATACCTAAAAGAAAGGAAAATTCAAATGAAAACCCCACCATAACCCAAACGAAAATTCACAAGGGAAAGAAAATCAAGAAGACAAAGGCAGAAAGTTATCTATTTATTTGTGTCTAATAAAATGTTTTCACCAGGATCATGACTCTCAAATCGCCAAAAGCAATTTGAGATTACCTAAAGGAAGAATATGCTAGAGATGAAAGGATCCGAAGCATGTAAGTATTGAATTTATAATGAGAATTTGAGTTACAAAGAATGAAGGAATCTAAGACAATCAAAGAAATACTCAGACAAATTACTTGACATCGCTAATAAAGTGCGATTACTAGTAACACAATTTCTTGATTCTAGGATTATTGAAAAAATTCTAGTAACTATACCCGAAAGATATGAAACTTCAATAATAGCCTTAGAGAACACAAAGGATTTGAGTAATATCATTTTGGCAAAGGTGTTACATGCATATTGCAAACATTAAAACAAAAGAGGCTTATGAGGCAAGAAAACAATCAAAAGGAGAAAAGAAAAAAATTAGGTGGTAAAGATATTGAGTCAAGGAGAAGTACTAGGAATATGCCTAAATATCTTTTGGAGAACAAATTAGTTTTGATAAGAATCTTTTATTTATGTTTCAAATATTTAGATTTAATTTGTTTTGATTATTTTAGGATTTGTTTTCTTATTTTTAGAATAGGATAATATTTCTTGGTATAACAATTTTTCTCTATATATAGAGAGCTCTCAGATAAAAAATATATCTTTACAAAATAACCCGTTAAGAATTTGGTTTCTATTAAAGTGAATCTACTCCTCTTTATGCTGACAACACCAATGTAATTCAGATTGCTTCTAATCCAATTTTTCATAAACCTAAGAAGCATATTGAAGTGGATTGTCATTATATTTGAGAAGCTTACTGTGACCATGTTATTTGTCTTGCTCATATCTCTACAGACATGCAGGTTGTTGATATCTTTAGAGAGGCCATGTCAAGACCTCAACATTAATTCCCAGTTGACAAATTGATGCTTTTGGATCAACCATCATCAATTTGAGGGGGATTTTAATTAATTCGGCCTTATTATTAATTTTCCTCATTATCTTCATTTTTTAATATTTAAAACAGCTTCTATAATCACTCCTCAATATTTCCCAATTTATTCCTGTATTTATTTCATTAATTGTACAGTTTTTTATAGTTGTAAATCAGGGACTGTTGTAATTAAATATGGGTTGTTACAATGTATTATTTTAAATGAGACTTGCATTCAATCAAAAGTTGTTTATAATAATCACCCTAAAAAGTCACACTAAAACTGATTTTTAATTGATCAACATTGTAAAATCTTTTATATTGACATTGTATATCCATTACACTCGTTAAGAAATAGGAGGTAATTTAGTCAAAAAGATATGTACTTTTTGATCTTAATGTTCTAAACAAAAATTAAAAGAAACAGCCATTAACTATGCATGGCTAATCTTGAATTATCAGTTGGCCTGATGATTTTTATATGTAGATCTAAACACATTACATAAACTAAGTGAAAAGAAGGCAGGGAAGCATACTAACTCATATATAGATGCTTACTCAGAAAGAAGTAATTGTATCAATAAAGGTGTCACTGTCAAACCAATGACATCAAAGTTACCTGCAAATGTAGAACTTCCGACAGTGGCATCTTCTTCAAGTGAGGAACAGTCAGAAGTTGGGATGGTGTTTGTCCAAAATAAGCAATCTGATCTTGTGTGGCACGCTGTTGCACCTTTACTTGACATGCACGTAAGAAAGTAATAAGTTACAGAAACATGGATAAATTACTTGTTGAGGTCTGATTCTATTAAGATGGATTTTCTAAATGTTTTAATTTTAAAACCATGTATTCCAACTAAAAATTAATGGTGCATAAAATTTTCCTAATTCATCCATATACAGTTAATAATGGCAAATAAATTCATAAATGTACTGAAAAAAATGTTCAACAAACAAAGAAGCAAAAGTTTGTAGTAGTTATCCATCAGCAGTAACAAATGTTTAAATGGATCGTCACCTAACCTTGCTCTATTATGAATCCATGGAAAGTTCAATTTTTCTTGCCTCTAATATTAAAAGAGAAAAGTATTAACTTGCTTCCTTTGGTCATTAGGAAATGAGTAAATACACTTACGAGTGCCCAAAAGTGTTTGGGTATTATTATTTCGAATAGAAATAAAGAGATTGGAAGATTAAATTGCTTCCTTACTTTCCTATAACACAAACTCCAAAATACAATAAAAAAATATCAAAGGACCTCTCCCTCACAAACTATCCTATATTTATTTTCATCTCCCTCAAACGAACTCCCTAAAACAGTGTATCAAATATAAATCCTAAAGATAAGCTATGATAACAAAATTCAAATAATATAATCTTGAACTAAATCCTAAAGTTAAACTATGATAACATTATTCAAATAACATAATCATATACTAAATTTGCTGATTTATGAGTTGGGTTCTATCATACATAATTTGGTCCGTCAAAGATATACCTGTCCCTAAAAGTTTGTTATATACAAAATCACCCGACTTTCTGTAAGTACTAAAGGTTAGTTTATTCGTCAATAGGTCATCTCACTCCCTAAGGGAAGCACACACATGGAATGTTATGAAGGAGACAAGAGTACAGTTAACACGTAAATCAGCTTTTCTCCATTGGGGATTTTGAAGTCCAAATAACAGAAAAACTTGCTAGAACTTACAGAAATTCCAAGATTATTTAAGATTATTTTGTAAACAACCAATATCGAAGGACCAAAAGCATGTTAGGTATATATCTCTCAATAACCAAATTCTATTTTTTATTCTAACAAAATTAGAACAACACAGACAATAGAGGTTATTTGACAGTTTAAAGCTTGCTAAGTGAAAAGAGCATGATTACTTGTTGAAAGGGCAGGAATTGACGGCAAAGCAATCATAAAAGAGATTATTGGACAGTTTTAAGCTTGCTTAGTCAAAAGAGCACGACTACTAGTTGAAAGGGAAGGATTTGATGGGAAAATGAGCATAAAATAATGGAGCAGAAAAAGTTAATGATATGAGATTCAATCTGATATTATTTATCTTCACTAGCTCTCAATTAAAAAATATAAAGCAAATGGTTGCTGACTTGCAGCTAAGAACTTCAGCCTTACACAGTAGAGACAGATATGGACAACTACATATTACAACCCACAGAACACTCAAACAATGAAAGTCTAGCTAGGGGTAATTTTTTCTTTTTTTTTAATTTTGTAATAAATGATTGATTGGGCTACACTCAAAAGGAAGCCAGGATATGGTCAGGCAAGGCAACAAAAAAATAAAAATAATGCATACAGAGGAAGAAACATTGAAACAAGACTTTTCTACTCTCTATGTTTACCAATCTATCAAAGAAACCATGTGCTGGAAACCAAAAGGATCCCAAGTAGAAAAAAGACCTATCCCAAAGCAAGTTTATGAACAAATTTTTCCTTATATGTATGAGTGTCAATCATAAGTTATTAGATCTTAGATCTAACATTACCAAGTAAATATCATCAAGTTGCCTCTACTAGAACCATTATTTCAAACTCTGGATGGTTTGTTCACAAATGTCAATTTTATGTCAGAGAAGTATCATATTAAAGGATTTTTCTTCCTTTTACCAAAAAGAAAAGGATTTATTTTCTCATCTCATCTTTTCAATTCCTCTCAGTTCCTCTGCAACTTGTATTATTCAAAAGGGGAAGTTATTTTGACAAACTGACAGCTAACTGCGAGTAAAAGGATTGTCATGTTTATCAAGCTTAAGCCATTATTTTCATGTATAATTAAAAAGTATAAACATGTAACAAACAAAAATATTATTAACATGTACTTCATCGTCTAACCGATGAAGGTAACTATCATATCACAATTTATAAGGAGTACTATCATATTTTGATGAGCCTTTCTTTTGTCTCTATGGGGTTGGGGTATTTTTGTTTAAAAAAGAAACAAAAGAAAAAGAAAACATACTGGGTTAGATATCTTAGATATATCGGAATTTGGTTGGAATTGCATGCTACTCAAACAGAAAAATGAATTGAAAATATGGAGAAGCAACGGAGACATACTGGGTCTGATATTTTATCAATATCCACTGTCCCTTCATAGGTAATATAAAAGAAAACATTATTTGCTGTAATAGCCTCTTTGCCCTGTTGCTTATACCTGCATGGTAAAACTCATTATTAATGTAACCAGATGTAAATTGTCAATGGTCTAAAATAAAATAAGGTGGAAATTTAAAAATAAATGTTATAGATATGTATATTGAAAATGCAAACTTCAGAATAACGAAAATCATGAATAAACAAGAGGAAGCTTTGAAGCAGGTGCACACACCTAAAGAAGGGGGAGAAACTGAAAAGTAGGAAGCAAACCTACCCAAATATGAGGTCAATCCACTCATGCAAATGAGCAGATACATACTCACTTTCCAGAGCCATCCTATGCTTGTGCACAAAATCAACTGGATTCTCAGCCCAAGCAGGAAGTTGTACAGTATCTGGTATGGAAAAAGTAAATCACAAGCAGAGCTATTAACTGTAATATGCATTTGAATATACCACAATTTCTTCTTAAAAAACCAGTGGAGAAAATCTTAATGAGTATACCAAGCTTTCCTCCCAATTGTGTTGTGCCAAAGTCAATTGAATTTTCATTTGTGAGGACCTCAGGGAGGTAAAATAGCTCAGGAACCTAATAAGTTGAGATTAAAAAAGGGAAAAAAAATGGCTTAAAATAAAATTTTCAAGAAAACCATGATAAGAATTCAAAATACAAGTACTATAAACATTGAAGTCCTCTAAGGACAACTAAAAGCATTTAATATACAAGTACTAAAATCATATAACATAAAAGCATTCAAGAAAACCAATCATTCTGTTGTAAATCAGTAAACATATACCAATTCCTTCACATCACTCATGTCCTCAAGAACTCCATTCCAAGTAGCAGAAATATCAGAAAACATTCGATCTGCATGATCAAATTTTCCACCTTGTAGTTTGATTGCAAGGGTTGTGAATGGTTCAACCCGAACAAGATAATATAAGACCTGTAAAAGACAATAACTATTAACTGATGCAAAATCAGCAACTAAAATTCAACCATATTAAATGACTAGCATTTGCATACTGGGCGATTGATTCTTCTATTATTCTTGATGACCTTAAAGTTCAATAGGAGGGCACTATGAAGTTGACTTGTGATAACAATTCGTTGTCAACATTACTCATAACCCAATTTAACATGATAGAACAAAACATTGATAGTGACTTCATCAAAGAAAAGTTGAATGGCAGCTAGTTATAGCTCATATTGATATACCTATAGGGCTTCAACCGGTAGATGTCTTCACAAAAGGACTTCCTAGTGTTAGATTCCAAGATCTTATTGGTAAGTTGGGAATGCTTGATATTCATTTACCAACTAAAGGGAGGGGGTTGTAAATATCATAGATATTTAGAAGATCTAAAATATTTCTAAATATCTTTACATATTTGTTTCCCTATTTATTTATTATTTTTATTTCTTTTTTTAAGATTAGTCATTTACTCTATGAAAAGGAAGATTAGGGAATGTACAAAACACACAATTAATATACAGTTTCCTTTTTTCTTAGCTATTCATTATTACTTGGAAGCCAAAAGAAGCCATTTTTTTTTAATCTTAATATGATTTACAATTTAAAACTGTCTGGCTATAAAATCTACATGGTTTCTTTTTAAAAATCATCTGCCCCAAAACCTATCAATGTATTCTCTCTCAATCTTTTTTGTGACTGCCATTGGTTCAGATGATTGTACACTTGGTGTTTCCAACAAACTGACATAATGCAGCCAAAATATATTTGCATTTTATTTATTTTTAGGCAGTTTGGGATAGGTGAGACTTATTAGAATGCATTTAAAAAATTGAAATTGGGAGTTCATGCCAAAGAATCAAACTTCACAGCAGCTCCAAGTTAACCATTTAAGCTCCATCTGGAGAGCACGAAGTTGATGATAAAACTCAAAAAGTAGAAAACAAACCAAATACAGGATCAACAACAGTCTACATACTAAATGACCCAAATACAAAACAGAGAGAGGAGGACCCACAGTTCCTGCACTTGAGTAGTGCGATCCATAGTGGAATTTAGGGATGACAGGATCATCAAAGCTAGTGTATCTCTCTTGAAATTTTTTCAGACGATCTGGGTTCAGTGCTCCAACAGGCTGCATCATATTAAAATCATTAATAATTTAAAAAAATCAAAACATTTCCCCTTGAACTCATTAAAGCAACATTCATGATAACCTTTGAAAGATCCCGGTAAGAAGAAGGATTAGAAAGATCCAAGTTCTGAGAACTGTAATCAGATAGAATCCAAGGGAAAACTGGATACTGCAATAAGAAAATAATAATGATAAAATAAATAACATGAAGATGAGATTAAAGAGTTTAATGATAGAAAGCAACAAATTAATAACAAAGATCACCTGGGTTATATCATTATAACTACGCCCAGCCAATGTATTGAGTTGCATTAGATACTCAAAATTACTGATCTGCACAAGGGCATCGTAAAGTCAATGCTAATAAACAAAATTATATTAAAGATTAATTATGTATCTGGTTATCTGTTAATAAAGATTATGTTAAAATTTTCAAGAAAATAAATTATGAAATAATTAATGTGTTCGTGTTAGAGAAGTCACAGTGCCTCTGCTTCATGTAACCCAATACAGTGGCATTCACTGTATTGCTATCCTAGTATAGCTAGTTTCTGTTACCGATAGTATAATGTCAGTCACTGTTAGGTTTTCTGATGTAATCTGAGTTTCCGGAATCAGAGCTACGTGCTCTAGCTCTATAAATACACTGTATCTGATTCTAATTAAATCAATGAAAAATACTCACGTTCAGCCTTTCTCTTATCTTCAGTTTCATAACTTGGTATCACGAGACTGAAGATCCATGGCTGAAGAAAGTCCTTTTTCCACTGCTTCATGTAACCCAATACAGTGGCATTCACTGTATTGCTATCCTAATTTAGTTAGTTTCTGTTACCGACAGTAATGTCAGTTACTGTTAGGTTTTCTGATGTAATCTGAGTATCCTGAATCAGAGCTACGTGCTCTAGCTCTAAATACATTGTATCTGATTCTAATAAAATCAATGAAAAATATCTCACTTTCAAAAATCTAGCCTTTCTCTTATCTTCAGTTTCTTAACTTGGTATCACGAGATTGAAGATCCATGGCTGAAGAAAGTCCTTTTTCAAATCCACCTCCGCAATCAACAACACCAATTCACGCCTCTCCTATTTAGTTCACAATTGCTTATAAGAAAAAGATTTTTTTGAATGTAAAATAAATAAATTTTTTTTATAATAGATTATCAAACAATTATTGAATGATTGAAAGAATTTTGGCTGAAGTGAAAGAAATATTTATCTCTCAAAGCTTGTGAAATAATCTAAAACAAAAATTATAATGCTCATGATATAGCTTTTAGGGATAAATAATCTGGGAAATTATGTCTAATGCAGACCGCAAACTTTTGAGTATTTGTATTTATATTTACATGAATAGGGAACAGTAATAAAAGGTAATAAAGTCGTAATGATATGTTACATGTGTTGCTAATTAGACAAGTGATACATGTCTTACGGATGCTACATCAAATTCTTGTCAACAGTATTAATAGAATCTATGATTTATTTCTTTCCTTTAATTTCTCTAAAATATTTTCTGATTTATTTACTGCATTTATTTTATTAATTGACACCTGTAAATTAGTCATGTATTAGGCAACATTTTCTTGGATAGCTATAGGAAAGTTTCCTTGTATAGCTATAGAGATTAATATTTAATGGGATTCTCTCCTTGATGAGGGGCATTCGGTCAAATTCTGTTATATATATCATCTCCTCTCAAGTTAGAGCATACAAATCATATGTACCAACCTTGTTAGTTGTTACAAATATATTCAACCTTGCCCCCATTGAGGGATTTGGTGAACATGTTAACGAGTTCTTCACTAGAATTGACAAAGTTGTAATTTCCCTACAAGAATGTCCAAAGCATATTTTTTTTGACAAAGGACAATGCTAGAAGTAAATTGAGCAACTGCAATATCCAAGAAGTATTTGAGAAGACCTTAATCCTTGATCTAAAAACTATTGGGTCAAATAATGTTTGAGACAAAGAATGTCATGGTCATTTATAGTTTATGACAATGTTTCCTAAACCCTTAGCCACAAGATAAATGCATGTGGAAAGTGATGAATGGAGAAAGAAGACAGTGTGATTAGCTTCACACCTAGTGATGTCAAACTGTAGTAAAGTTAAGCTAAATGGAATGAGCCAAGTAGAAGGGGATTGCTTCAATTCATACATGGAATGGCGAAGGAAGCAGACAGACTGAGGGGCATCCTTGGTATTGAATCTAGGAGGTCAATCCATGTAGACTTCTTGCAGTTCAGCATGTAAAAAGGAATTCTTGATAATTAACTGTGGAGAAGGCAAGTGATGGATAGCAGCAAGGGAAAGGAAAAGCCAAACAGATGTGATTTTGGTCACAGGAGAAAAGTGTATTTGTAATCTAAATAAAAAATTTGAGTGTATCTTTAGCCACAAGATGACCCTTTAACCGATCTATGTTGCTACCAGATCCAATCTTGAGGTAACAAAGCCATCAACAACCAATAGTGGTGGCATTGTGTTAGGAATCCAAATTAGAAAAATAGAAGAAAGAAAAGAAAGATTGTATTACTTGATTGAAAAAGGAATAAAGCATAGGAGATTCAACTCTCCTCCAAGGGTTTTTCCCTTTACAAAGGATTTCTCCTTTTACAAAGAGTTAAAGCTCAATTTACAAATGAAATATATGAATCCTCCCCTTTATCAAGTAACCTCCTATTTATAGATATGATGGGCCAGAGCCCTATATCCTTCTAAAGTTCTACTAATATTATTCTAATTAATAACTACTCTAATTCCCTTTATTGTATATCCTAACACATTGCTTGGAGGTAAAGAAGCCAAATCCCAAGAAAAAAACTGTTTCCCTATATAATCAAGGAAATCCAAACATACACTAATACTTTTTAGGGTTAAGACACTTCTTACCTCCCACCTAGCCCAACGCTCCATAAGCTGAGTTCTTTTCAAAAGTTGTCCAGGTCTCTGAAAAGAAAATTATTGTAATCCTAAGTTCAGATGCAGAGAAATTTACAAAGATGAAAATTCACAAAAAAGATAATACCTGAGTAGCTAAATATATATTGTTTAAATATGGAGGTCGTGCATGAACAATTGCTTGATATGCATTTCTTCGCCCCTCACTACTCTGAAGAGGAAATTTTGGTACGGAAAATGAGTTCTAGATTTATAAGTTTGCAACATTTAATAATCATTTGTAAGATGTTCAAAAATATATCAGCATTAATTATAGTTATAAATCCAAGAAGTATACTCCTGTAAAATAAAAGGAAACAAAGTGGCAGATTCAAAAATTAATACCCCAAAGTCAAAGAAGAAGTTGGAACGGTCCACCATAAATAGCTCCAGTGCACTTCTTCTAAGAAGATATCTGTAACAGGAATCAATTACTGACAAACAACTGAAAACATACAAACAACATCAAGTATATTCAAAAACCGCCCTCCATATGGACAACACCTTTTGCACTATAATATATTGTCAAGCAAAAAACATCAAGTAGCTAAGCAAAATAAGAAGGTTCTGGAGATGAAAATATACAGTCTACTCAACAACCTACTAAAGTTTTATGGAACAACCAATACTTCAAAAGAAACATCATGGAAAAATCAGGACTGAGCTTTTTATGGTAATGTGCAATTTTTGTTGTCCTTTGGTGTGTGTGTGGATGAAGTGTTGACATATATATAAACAGCTCTGTCTCACTCCCTCTCTCTCTATATATATACATATGTACATATGTATGTATATAATCGTTGATTCTTTGTATTTTTATTTCAAATAAGAATTCTAGAAGATTTATGTAGTTAAGATCATGATCAAATTCTTCAAATCTGATTTTATTTTATTCTCCTTTATTCTAGAAGAGTTAGTTGATTAAGATCAAGATCAGATTATTAAATCTGATTTGATCTTATTCTCCTTTATTTTCTTCCTATGTGATCTTTATATTTATTTTGTAATTAGGTAGTTAGTATCTCTCTTATCCACCTATGTCTACTACATAAAGTATCTCGTGTAATTCTGATCAAAGTGCAAAAATAAAGATAAATTTCTTCAAAAATTACACACACACTCATATATATATATAAGAACAAAAATGATTACAAGTTAATATAATAGAATAGCAAGATAATAAATAATCAACAAAATGAATTCACCTTCGACTATAAATTTGATGAAGAGCAGATATTAACCAGCTGCGATTCTTTTCTTGGTCCCCTGCCTTAGAACCAAAATTTAAGCCATCCATCTTGGCGCTCACCTCAATATTATCAACTATAAAATTTATCCTCCTACTAGTCACCTACAAGACAATGGCAATTCACACTGGTGCAACTGAAATATATATAAGACAAGAAAATAATTTCAATTCCTTCATCCATTTTTCCCACAATAAAGAATAAGCACAAATATTCAACTTATTCAACAAAATGTTTCCATGTATTTTGATTGTAGGAAGCAACCAAAAAGATATAGGAACTATGGGATAAAGATGATAGAGTAACAGAGAGCCACATATAAATGGCCAAATACACTAATTGTGATCATCTTATCCTTGTCTCCAAACACTTTATCAATGACATGTTGCAGGCTCATAGGCCACTTATGTTTCCCCTCATGCTCTGCTCAGAATTAGGTCTACATCTACTTTTACACTGTCAGCTATCATTTCTAATGGAGATTCCAAATTGATTAGTGATATGGCCAAAATAAAGTACATAAGTAGAGACAATCCTCGTCTTACAAGTTAGTTTTGTAGGATTGAGTGAGACCCAAACCCACATTTCTAAGATAATATTAGAGCCTATCTTAGCAATTATTGTTGGACCTATCTGGTCACCCGCTATTGGGCCATTATTGGACAACTTATAGATGTTCAGTTCTACAAATTTCGCACTTGAGATATCCAGTCCATTCCCCTGCATGAGGGGTATGTGTTGGAGATTCCTTTTTTTTTTTTTTAATAAAAGAGAGAATTAATTAATGATATGTCCAAAGTAAAGTACATAAGTGGGGACAATCATTACCTTGTAAGTCAATTTTGTATGATTGAGTTAGATTCAAACCAACATTCCTAAGAGTTTTTTTACAGATTCTTTTTGGTGTTGAGAGTGCCCTAGGCCCATAGACCAAATCTTTACGATGGCTTTCAAGCCTTTGACAGAAGCATAAAAGTGGTAATGTGAAACATATGCTACATGTTGGTACATTTGGTTTGGGAGTAGTTCTCATGCTTCAAAAGGTTCTATATCACAACACGTGAATATAGATAAGGGTCAGATTAGGTATTTGGCATCAATTTGGTATAAATAAGTTTTTTAATTAATTTGGTACATTTTGTTTTTTGCTCTTACTTTAAGGAGGACTCACTATCCTCCCAAATCCTTGTAATGTTTTATTGTTCTAAATGAATTTCAGTTGAAAGGAAATATCTGAAATATTTTTCTGAATTAATCATATGTACCAAAGGATTTTTCATTTTGTGATTTTAGGGTCTGCTAGGGTGAAAAAGAACTATAGAAGAGGAAGAATCTTTCATATTTTTATTTCAGAAATAATAGAGATACATATATAACTTGGGAAATACTACTCCATGGGATTATAACAAGCAATGTAACTTCCTTAACACTCCCATGAACATTAAATGCACTTTAGAATGTGATACATGAACCACAAAACACTTCTATCACATCCAAATAACTACCATTAATTGCAAAATATGCTCAGCACCCATGAAGCTACATCAAAACTACTTTTGAAACCATTCTGTAATAAATTATTTAGGCTAAATTGCATTTTTGATCCCTTTATTTTTGTCAATCCGCAATTTTGGTCCATTTATTTAGAAATAAAGAACTTCAATCTTCCTATTTTAAAATATAGACATTTAGTCCCTTAATTTAAAAAATACAGAACTTTAGTCCTACCTTCAATTTGACATCTAGTGATCTTTAAGTTTTAACTTTGGCTCATAGCTTGTCATCAATTAAGTGATATGACATTTAATGACATGACATTTAGAGATAAAAAAATGCATACAAATGAGGTTTAATAATAAAATAAATACAAATAAAGATCATTTGTATGCCCTTTTTAATTTTTTTAATTTTTAAATGTCAAGTCACTTAGGTGATGACATGTCATGTGTCAACCTTTAAATTTTAGGGTCAACAAATGTCAAGTTGACAGTAGGGCCCAAAAATTCTGTATTTTTAAAATCAGGGAATTAAATGTTTCTATTTTAAAATAGGAAGATGAAAATTGTGGATTGCCAAAAATAAGAGGATCAAGAGTGTTATTTAGCCAATTATTCGTTAAGTTGAGGAAACAACAGATATAAAAATGATATTAATTTTCTTGCCATTCAATTTTTTTTGGGAGTTTTTATCCGGCTCTTTTTCTCTACCAAGAGCTTTCTTATTAATCTCAAAATGGTTATAAAATGAAAATATGCACATATAGACACAGGTTTCACAAAAAACATGTTTAAATATCAACAATATCATTGGGATAGTTTCAAAATTACTTTGAAATTAGATCAACAAACTTACTTGGAAGGTTCCGTGTATAATCCTAAGCGGATGGACCATTGTTGATGGCAGCTCAAAAACAATTCTTTCATCAAGCTCACTTGGAACATAACCAGGTGCAAAGGCTGAAGAACTCTGAACAACACCCCCATCACTTTCAAGCTGAATACCATTGGATTCTAAAGAGTCTTGCCCAATTTTCTTAGCTGCTTTGGAAGATTGATTCTCTACTTTATCTTCAATATCATCAACCCTAACATCCAAATTTTCTTCGTCATCATTTACAGCTTCTATTGTGATTGCCTCTGCTGATAAAACTGGAGTTCTCTGATTATTATCCCCCGAGTAATCCTCATAATTGACAGCAGAACCTAAATGATCAGACCCTCGATAATTCCTCCTCATACATCTTCTCATCCTAGAAGAACTTTCCATAAAATCAAGCTTCCAAAACACCTAGAGAAAATTAAAAAATAATCAGCATGGTGAATTGAATCATTAAAAAACATTATTTTGATAAGATTTTAATATTAGAGAGCATGAGTTGGGTAGAAAATAAATCCTCCAAGAGCAGAACAAATAGAAAAGAAAACATAAGCAAAAAAATAGGAGCATCTATTCCAAAGAGATATCCAACTCTTTCGCAAAGCCTGAAGCTACCTACATAATATGCTAGGAACACTAGCACAAATGAAAAGGCTACATACAGCAATTGTTTTTGAATTCTTGGAATTTCCATCATATACACCAGCATGCAATATACATCTTTCTAGAGTTTTTTCATCTACGCTTAAAAACAGAATTTAAGGCCAGAAATAGATGAGTAGCTACAAAGAATGTCAGTTGGTAACAATAATGTAGACAGTTATATCATAACATACCCGAATCGGGCTGTACAAATAATCAGAAAAAGGCCCAAAAAGACTTCTCATCTCGATTAACTCGCAAATAAGCTTGCGCCAGGCATGAATTCCAGTGCTGATACGATGCCGAGATATTATATCTGCACGAGCATGCCTCTCAATCTGGTAACAAAGAAATATTTAACATGCAGTATCTCAATATAATCGGAACACCATAGTAACAATTAGCAGACAAACCTCAAATCGCTGCATATTCCTTGCTATGGCAAAACAGGCAACAAGAACAGCAATAAATTTATATGACAAAGCATTGAAATCTTTTTCGTATACTGACTTCGTATCAACTGGCTGCAGACATTCCATCCAGGCAGTTGCCATTGCTTCAGTAATATTCCACCTCTTAACCCGCTCCATATCACTAGCACTCCTTCGCTGTGCAGATGTAGCCATTGCAACGGCACTAAGACCTCTTCCAGAACCAATCCTTGAAAATCGTTGAAGATCACGAGCAGCAGCCAATGCAGCAGCTTTTTCAGATGCTTTGTTCTTTGGTATTGGTGGTGTTTTGTTAGGGACATCCGAAGGCTTTTGAAAGCTTGAAAATGTATGAAGCCTGGCCTGTTTGCGTTCCAGCAATGAGGTTTCACGCCTAAGCTGGGCATTTGTTGAAGGAGCATGACTTTCACTACCTGAAGTACCAGCTGCAATCATAGACAATGCCATTGCAGCAGGTGGAGATGCAAAAGCAGCAGCCCAGTCGGGAGATATCATAGCAAGAGCAGCCTGAAAGAAATGTCAAATGCACAATTAAAGTTAATGCACCAAAAGTCATATAAATGAACATTAAGACCAAAAATAAGCTCTATATTAAAACATCACATGAACTTTGTTGTACAGACATTATTGGAGTAAAAAGCAAACAAATCCAACAGCTTTCCTCTTTTGATAGGACACTCAGTTAATGAAAAGTTCATTACTTGAAGTTGGTAGTAGAAAGTTATTAAGAATCAGAGAATAGAGAAGAATAATTGACTGAAACCATGTGTTTCAATACATAGTGGGTGAATGATTATATAGATTTATTTCATATATTACACATGAATATAAGTGATTGAATCAACTCTGTCCAAAACTAGAAAAGGGCCATAGTACCTATGAGCCTATTTCTCATTCCTCAGTGTGCTTAAGACCTTAATTGATACGGTTGTGCCTTCAAATGTACCCAATCTCCTACATGAAAACTTAAATCCCTATTTCTCTTATCTTCTTGTTTCATTCTTTGCTGAGCTTTAAGTATGTTAGCTTTCAATTCATCCAGCACACCGTCATGTTCCTCAGCCAATGCACTCATGGCTTCCACCTTTGAGGGATATGCGTTGGCTCAAATGATAGGCGGTGGGTCTTTACCATATACTTCTCAAAAAGGTATCATCCTTGTAGAATGATGATGTAGGTGTTAAAATAAAATTCTGCCCAAGGTAACCATTGTGGCCATTGCTTTAGTTTTTCTCCCACAAAGCAGCACAAATAATCTTCCAAACACCCATTCACCACCCAATTTGTCCATTTGTCTGGGGATGATAGGAAAACTGTATTTAAGCTTTGTCCCAGCTTATTTGTAAAGTTCAACCCAGAACTGACTCAAAAATAGGCTATCTCTGTTAATGACAATGGATTCGAGAAAATCATGTAGCCTTACTACCTCAACAAAGAACAACTTGGCAACATCCTTGGCGGAAAAAAGGTGCCTCAGAGCCAGAAAATGAATGTACTTTGTCAATCTTTCCACAATTACCAAAATAGTATCTTTTCCTTGGGGTCATGGGAGTTGCGAATTGAAGTCCGTGGAGATATTAGTCCATATTTGAAGGGGAATCGGTTGTGGCTGTAATAAACCGGCTAAAGACTACGTTTGAAACTTAGTAGTTTGGCAAATATGATATTCTCCCAAAAAATTCTTTATTTAGACAAATATGGAAGCTAATCCTTTTTGTATGACTTCATTGTTAATTTTTCTAACAACATTGATGCACTTTTCTTATCCAATTACCAATAAACTTGATAACAAGAACTTTCTTGTCAAACAACAAATCGAGATTACTAGGACATTGTCTCCACAAATTCTTGTAGAATTTAGAAATTTCTCTGTGTTTTCTCTCAAAGGCAAACTACAATGCAAGAGCATGTTGAGAATCCTAGATATTCTCTTTGGAGCAATAGGATCAAATATTGCTAGCATGGCTTCAATCTTCTCTCTCTCCATCTATCCTACCACATGTTATTGTGGCAAGGTTTAATGCAGAAGTTGAATATTGAGTGATGACTATTACTATGTGTGAACTTGTCTGGTTGAAACAACTCCTTAATCAACTCAAGTTTTGCAAAATTGAGTCAATGAAACTCATTTTTGACAGCCAAGCAGCTTTGCATATAGCGTCTAATCCAGTTTTTATGGACTAAACACATTGAAGTAGACTATTATTTTATTCAAGAAAATATCATTTTTGAAGAAGTCACAACCTACTCTGTGAATTCTAATGATTAGCTGGATGATATCTTCACCAAGTTGGATGTTTATGATCCATAGCTCCAGCTTTATGAGGAGTGTTGAAATTTGATTAGATTTCCATTATTTATGTTTTGTGTTTCCGTTATTATATTTTTGACTTATTTATTTTTATTTTCATCCCTACAATTAAGGGATTATGTAATTAAATCTAATGCATTTCTTTCAATATAAATAAAGTTGTTGGGAACCTTCTTCCTCAAGCATTTTGATTAAGTCATAGCCTTATTGTCAAGTAAATTCATTATTTTCTTTCAAGTCTTTCTTTAAACATGTTGGAAAGTCACCTTAATTATGGTCATCATTAACTTGTCTTAATTGCGGCCTCTTTAAAGGTTACCTTAATTGAAACTTGAAACCTTGATGGGGTGTATTTAGTCCTACATTTATTAGAGATATGGCCAATTTAGTTCTTATAAGGCTTGAGCAATCCTCACATCAGTTAGTTTTGTGAGGTAGAGTTAGGCCCTAAGCACAAATGTTAACATGGTAACTTATCCTATCCTAGATCCATTGTTGGCCAACCTACATTGCCATACACCAAGGCCATCGCTTTGGGCATGAAAGGGTGTTTTGGAAAATTGCCTTAATTGCAGAAACTCATAACCTGTCTTAATTGAGTTCTCTTTGGGAGGGTTACCTTAATTGCAGCCTCAAGGGCATGTGTTTAGGCCTACATCAACTAGAGATATGACCAATGAAGTCCTTATAAGGCTTGGGCAATCTTCATCCTACAAATTGGTTTTGTGAAGTTAGGCCCTAAGCTAAATTCTAAGAGAAAGTTATGATAATATAGGGCAGAAAAAAACTTTTCAACAAAACCCAATCACATTTTAAAATGGACGAAACAAGCACAATACTTGCACATATGCATGACTGCATGAGCACATTAGTATTATAGTTCACATGTGGAATCATGTATGTATAATGCATGCACATATATTTGTTTCAAATTGTGTACATATAAACATAAGCAAATTTAACTACCTCAATCGGCTGGGCATCAATAGCTAATGCTTGATTATCCACTGTAAGAGGATTTAAACCATCAGTGGTGGCAAGTTCATGAATTCCAGACAAAAGGGGGCACCACCTCCTTATGACAGCAATAAATGGTGGTATGATAGCCTCAATGTACTTTTTGCGATGAAGCTTTCGGTCTATGCTAATAGCATGGTATACCTGACCAGATATTGTATTATGGTGACTACAATGATTGTGCAGAAAAGAAAGATAAATGATAAATACTGTTGGATAACACAATTAGCAAGAATAAGAATGTTAATAACTAACCTCGGAATAAAGCACACAACATGCTACCAAGACTCTTTGTTTCTTAGAATCAGTAATTGGCATGTTAAGAATAGGTGAGAGAACACTGTCATATTACAAGAATAAATAAATAAGATAATGTTAACCAATTAAAATTATAGGAATTAGATAAGAACCGTAAAAAAGAGAGAACATAGACTCAGAATAACATGATATTACATTAATATGATATAGATGTAATGAGACTATGGACAAAGCATTAACCACTATTTATATTAGAATCCTAAGTCAATCAAGTAAGGAAACAATTAACTAAAGATAAGATAAAATTCAACGGAATAAGATATTCCTTATATAGAAAATAATTAGGAATAGGATTTGATATACATATTATTTCCTTGTTTCATTAAGAATTGGAAAGTAGAGTGAGCATTCATTAATCCAAACAGCATAACTAAATACTTATAATGCCTCTCATGAATTCTAAACAGAGTCTTATATACATCCTCACTCTTGACCTTTACTTGGTGGTACTAAATAGACTTGAGGTCAAGCTTAGAGAAAAGTTGCTAGGCACCATACAGCATAACTAACTAAAGATAAGATAAAATTCAACAGAATAAGATATTTCTTATATAGATAATAATTAGGAATAGGATTTCCTATACATATTATTTCCTTGTTTCATTAAGAATTGGAAAGTAGAGCGAGCATTCATTAATCCAAACAGCATAACTAAATACTTATAATGCCTCTCATGAATTCTAAACATAGTCTTATGTACATCCTCACTCTTGACCTTTACTTGGTAGTACTAAATAGACTTGAAGTCGAGCTTAGAAAAAAGCTGCTAGGCACCATACATATCAAGTAGCTCATCTATGAAAGATACAAGATATTTGTGCAGTACAATTACCACAGTTAAAGATATATAATCTACTAAGCTTCCAAGTCCCATCCTTTTTATAAGAATATCAGGACTAGGAAAATCACTTTGGCTGTGCCTCATGATCCTTGCATCCAACAACTCCTTAACTAGTTTCTAAATCTCATTTTTTTATGGTGGTGAGGGTAATTATAAGGTCTAACATTGGCTGACCCCTGCCCCTCCAGTATGACAATAGCATGGTAGTCCTATTGGTTCTTAAAAAAGTTCTGCGAACTGCTCCAGGATACTCTCTAAATCTTGCTTTTGTACAGTTGTGAATTCTCCTATAAACCCTTCCTCTACTCCATGAGTTGTTTTTGGAGGGGTATGAATCTATGGTCTCTTTGATCTGCATTTGGCTGATAAAGTTGGAATTCTCTTCGTAGTGCATGAGGTGCCTTTTGTGTCTATGTGCAAATTAGTGGTACACTATTGCTTATGTGTATGTACCATCATACTTTTGTCCCTTTTTGTTGCCTCTGATGGCTCAGACTGCTCCTCAAGTTATGCTCACTCATTCACTAGTACTAACCCTCAAGGCTCTGCAAATTGGTATCTTGATTCTAGTGCTTTACACCATGTCACTATTGTATCAAAATAGTTCACCTACCAACAAGTTCCTCTTGAAGGATCGGATCAGTTCCCAAATTCCTTTCTACTATTAATCCCATATTATTCTTGTTTTTAATAACCGGTTCTATATTCCTTCAATTACTAAGAATCTTACGAATTACAAGTGTCACTTAATTCACTAAAGACAACTTAGTTTTGTTTGAATTTTTCATCCATCTTTTTGTTTGATCAAATCACAGGGTACCAAAGAGGTTCTCCTCAAACGAACTTTTTGTCAAGATGGGTTCTATAGGTTCTCCTCTTATTTCTGGGACTTGGGTTTTTACTAATAATACGAACTTGATATCAATTAACCACAAACAATTGAACCATGAAAACAGAAACAATTTTGTACCAAAAAAAGAGAATAAAGGTGGAAACATATTCCAACCATCACAAAACAAAGCTTCTACAAAGGGCTAATGCTCTGTTCCCAACAATCTAACATTACCTCCAAAGATACCCCTCTCCCTCCACTCAGGCTATTTGATATTGAAATCATTCACCCTGGTAATGACCTACTGACTTTTTGCCATCTCCCTCTGCCGGTTCACTCTCACGTTCCCTTTTTATCCTTCAAATTTTTGTATTATAGACCTTCCATACTTTGGGCCAATGTGACATTTGATGAATCAGCTATCCTCTTGGCTTTGCTTCTTTATTTTGGACTCTTAACAATTTCCCTTTTACCTTTATTACATACATATTTGAAGCCTAAAATTACTACCTTACCATTTATCATTATGTTTATCTATAAGTTGTATTGGCTACTGTAAGATAATATCAGAAAATATAGTATTCAGTCTCTTTTTTCCATCTTTGTCTCTTGGAATATTAGAGGCCTAGCCTCTAAACAATCTCAAATTGCTCTTAAAATATTCGTGTTAAATATAAGGCTGACTTTGTTTTTATTTCTGAGCCTGTAACTGATCTGTCCAAAATATCTCCATTTTATCGGCAGGAATTACAACTCAGTTTTTCTGCACAATGATTTTAGAAGAAAAGGCTCAATTAGGTGTTTTTGTTCACATTTTTACAATGCCTATGAAACTGCAAATCACTTGTTTTTCCTTTTGTCCATTTGCAGGCCAATTATGGAACTGGTTAGATGTAATCACTGATCAATCTTTCACAGCTGCAAATATTATTTTTGTATTATCAAATAAAACTTGGAGTGGTCTTCCTAACACTGTACTTCTTGCTACTATCACCTATGTCATCACAGAAATCTGGAATAGCAGAAATCAAATGAAGTTTGAAAGTACTTTTTTGCCCTTACCAACATATTAAAAATAGAATTCTCTTTGCTGTAAACAATTGTGGTTCTATTGCAACAGGTAATATGTGATCTATAATATCCAAATTCAAAATTCTTAAAGCATTCTCTATTTCTTGTAGACCAAGGAAACCAGAGAAAGTCATACAGGTTGATTGGATTCCTCCTCCTAAGGGCTGGGTTAAAGGAAATATTGATGAAGCATATGCAGAGCATGGAAAACTTTCTTCTTGTGCTGCTATATTCAGAGATTATAATGCAGATTTAGTTGGATGTTTTGCTAAACCTTTGAATGTTAATTCTGCTTTTGAAGCAGAAATACTAGCCATTATACATGCTCTACATATATTAACCGCTAAAGGATAGAATGCTTTCTAGCTTGAGACAAACTCACTTCTCATAGTCAAGTGTTTTTATGATCACTCTTTGGTACCTTAGACTTTGAGCAACAGATGGCATAATACTTTGGAGTTTATTAGAAAGATCAGATTTCTATTCTCTCACATGTATAGAGAAGGAAATTCATGTGTTGATAGTATAACAAATTTTTGTATTAGAAATATTAGATACCATTGGTGGGATTATATACCTATTTGTACGATACATAGTTTCAATCATGATAGGTGTGACTTGGCACACTATAGATTCTCTTGAGTGGCTTTGATGTGCACCCCCCTCCCCCCTCTTTTTCTGAAATGTTGCAGATGATTGATATAGATTGTGGTGCTAACCTAGTTAGGATCATTTTCTGTATAGCGATGCAATAGCATTTCTATTCTTTAATAAAAAAAAGTCTCTTTTTTCCAAGTGTTCGTAACAAGATAAGATCCATAAAGATAAGGTAACACAATTGTCCCTAAAATTAGGAGAATTTTTTATCCTGTTTCCCTCTTTATGATTATCCTCATAGACTTCATAAACTTGTTTTTTAATCCAAGACAAAATATACTTATATTAGAGTATATATTTTTACTCTGCTAACTTAAAATAAAAAATTATCCAAATCTATTCATGTATCACTCTATTGCAGATTCTGACATAACCCATTTGACAATACCATCAGTTTTGTTTCAAAATTATGAATATAAATTTCCAAACCATTATTTCAACAACAGCAGAAGATAAGAAAATTGCATGAATAGAAATTTTACATATTATCATGTCCATATCGATTGGTATGAAACCAAAGGGCACAGGCACAAGCAATGCAGCAAAAATACTGCATAACTGTAGTAACAAAATACATGGGCAAAGACAACAACCAAATGTTGGACAATGGAAATAAGATGGAGCTTAGAAAAATGAACACACTACTCAAAACCCAAACCCCTAATGGGAACTTTTACCTCAGCCTTTTTTTTCACCAGTCTAAGTTTAAACATTCAAGACTCAGAAAATATACACAAAGACTTAAGAATAGATGGTTAAAGAAGTTGATAACGAGAAAATAGAGGATATTTACGGTGGTATTTGGTTTTTTCTGTTTTTCTTGTATGATATTTATAGTGAATCAGTAATGCCCCATCTAAGAGTCTTTTTGTTGTAAACCAACTTCAGCATCACTGGTGATTTGACAGATTCCATCATATAGTATGTTTTCATTCATACTTGCAAAATATATCACCTTTCATTCTATTTTCTATTGTCAAAGGGAGGGTTTGATTCACAGATTAGAAACTCATTCCCGGAAATATGAACTTGGGAATGTCATATTCCCATATTTGTTTGGAGTTTTCAAATACCACTTATTCCCAAGAAAGTAGTTACAACATAGTTTACTCCATTTTTATTCTCATGGTGGAGGATGGGAAAGTTGTTTTCCCATGGGAATGTGGGAAGTTATATTTTAACTCATTTATTCAACTCCTGTTTTTTATTTAATTACTTTAATTAATTAAAATTTAAAAAATATCCCTAGGAATGTTAAAATCCTACCAAACACATTTCTAAATATTCCTGGGAATAATTTCTTAATGATAATATTCCTGTGATTGTAGTGTCCAACAAACGCCTCCAAAGTATTGAGAAGAAATTTTTTTTTATTTCCTTCACACAAAAACTGAAACTATGAAATGGAATTAAAATACAAATTATTAATGAAACATATCAATTGAAAATGAAAATAGATAACAAACAAATAACTAACTAGTTTTTTTTCCTTAAGTTTATTTTTTGTGTCCTATGCTTTAGACTCAGCTGTGAATTATGTCACTCATTTTTTTTTACTGTTTGAACTAATTGTATCCATCTCTTTGTGTGGAATTCTGCATGAAGTCAACAGAATTTGTGAATTTTATTTAGAAGAGGAAAAAAAAGAAATATGAAAAAATAGTGAAATTCTATTCTTACTTAGTACCTACATTAAAAAAACAAAAAGAGAAAAAAAAAAAAAAAAAAGATAAAGTTACCAAGTAGAAATGATAAAAGTACATCTCAAGTAGTGTGTGACCATAAAACGAGCTAATGTTAATGTAGCCAACCTTGTGTGGAACTTTACCAAGTAATGATCAAATAAATTCCAGAGGAAAATTTATCATTCAAGGATTAAAAAAGGGCTGGAAATAAGTCAGATCACAGAGGTTGTTTTACCTCCACAAAAGTGTTGAGTGTAGTTTCCTTCCTTCAGGCATCACACCGCCAATACTTGCAGTTTTTGTCAGCATATGGTCTTCCCCATCATCATCTTCCCTCATTGATAGAAGAACCATCCGAAGCATGCACAAGAATGGCTGATCACTGTCTAAAAGCTGGTACAACGCAGACATTGCTCCCATTCCAGTACCTGACCCTCCACCTATACCAAGACCACCACCATGCCCAGACTCATCTAGCAACAATGCTTGCAGCATTGCCACAGACTTCCTCACCAAAGGAAGTTCAACCCAGTAGCCATTGGTATCTTTCTCCAAAACAGACTTCCAAAATTCCCATCCACTCCCGCCACCACCAAATGAAGCTGTATTTGGTGGAAGGCCGACACCATACCACAAACGGCTTCTATATTTCCACCCAATAGCTAAATCCTTAGCACAGGATCCATATGATACAAAAGCACCAGAAACAGATTCATATGGATCAGCTGCAGCTGCTGCAGCAAGCCTTTCAATAATTGAAGTAGAGATCTGACCATTTGCATCAGCCATTGAAGAAAGGACCTAAAAACCTGACAGCATAAGTCTCACCAACATAGAAACAAACATATACAATACTGGGGGAGACTGAGAGAGAGCAAGAGGGGGCTATCAAAATTAAATTAACAGGAATGAAAATAAACTAAAATTAGAGAAATAAGAAACAAAGAGGAAAAGAAATTTCTCAATCCAAATGACTGGCCAAAAGTTGGATATTCAAGGAGAAAAACAAAAGCATCATAAAAAATGAAATTTAAACTTATATAAGCAACCTATCATCATTATATTATTTAGAAAAGGCTTATGAAGAATAGGATGGCATGTAACCATTGTATGAATTTTAGAGGAATGACAAGAACAGCACTGGAGAGCAAATTACAGCATTTATGACACATAGCATGCATTCATGTCTACTTTTAAATTATTGTATGCATACATCAAGAGAGATTCGCCCAGAGTTGCTAGATGATGATGTACGGTCACCCCTAACTTCTGTTGATTCTGCACTTGTTGACAATGATGTTGAGTTATTACGCATTGGATAAAAGAGAGAGAGGGGAGATGGAGAGCCATCTGCAGTACGTAAAGAGGACTGCTTGCTCTGTGAACGTAAATGATCCTCAACAAGCATAAGTATCACAATGGAATTTTCCACTAAAACCACAGACAGGTGAGTAGCATTCTCAGCCTCTGCCTTGGCAGCATTTGGAGACAAACCCTCAGCTGCAACACCAGCAACAGCCATAGCAATAACTTGAGACTGCAGTAAAGAAAATCAGAATATAGACATTAATACTGTTTTTCTTCCACTATTTTCAACAAAAGTTAAGAAATACATAAAGCCTTGTACTTATTCTTGTAAATACATACTTTTTTAAGTGTGATTAGGTATAAGTGGAGAGATTTTATTTTCTAGATGAGCATACACGTTAATAACCAAAAATGACCAATGGGGGGAAACATCAACAGGCAAAAAGACAATATTATCATGACATTGCATAAATGAAACTTTATATAAGGAAAATCAATAATGATTGAAAACAATATGTACCTGGACCTGCAATTCTCTAGCAGCAAAGTCCATCAACCCACCAAAGAGTTTTCTCTTAAATATAGGTAATGATTCTTCACGTCTTTAATGCATGAACCATGGAAGAGTGATCACATAATCATGATAAAAAAAAAATCAGTATATTTTCACCTTTAAATTTTTATCAAGACAAAGGAATAATCTAGTAATATCGAAAGAGCCTGTAAAAGATTTCCCTAAAATGCTTCATAATCTTTTCTACAAAGCTAGACTAGGATCAGGACAATGTATTCCATGAGGAAAAAAGTTATGAGAAAAAACACAAGAAAATAAAGGAGTACAAGCCAGCTGAATAATAGTGTAGAGCAGTCTTATTCAAAGAACTGCTCATCCATTACCATTAGTGCCACTAACATCTATTATTCATGCCTGTCTGTCAGACATAATTGTTCCCCATTGGGTTCCCTGTCAATCAATGAGGAACAGAGATCTGAGAGTGTCTTCATATTTTATTCAATTTTAGAACTCACCAACACCTGATTTAAACTTGTTTTAAACTCAATTTTCCATAGGTCCAGAATATCTTTAATTTAGTTAACCTTGAGACTACCTTCACAACCCTAGCACATATGTTGCAATTATATATTGTATTCCAATTCTTCCCGGAATATAATTTTTGTTTCACTGGCAACAATGAAATAGGATAATTTAATAGCTTCCAAAATTCGGCCCAGAATATAGAAATGCAGTCACTTCCGAGGGTTGCAAAAGCTTTGTATGTTTGTAATAGCTCCAAGGATCACAGGGCATGGTTTTATAATAGGATGTAGTATAATGTTTAGTTCAGAAACAATGTCAAACGGTATCAAGTAACAAAAGGAACAGACTACCATCATGGTGCTAAATGCACAGTAATAGAAATATAAAAGGAAATTTAATAAGCTCATAGTGGACATATAAACTTACCTAATTCTCTGTTCTCCTGTGCTAGATCCACCTATAATAGAAAGCCATTCTGCACAATGAATTGTTGCTTCAATATCCTACACATATTGAACAACACTAACCAGTATCAACGAACCTGATATAACCTAAAATCAGGCAAGCAAACAAATAGAAATTTCAGCAGACAGATATTACATGGTGACTAGAATATTCCACAACATTTCAACAGTCAATTGTTACTCCATATGAAATTCCAGGTTAAATTAAAATACCGTAGTTATGTGATGAGATATGTAAGACATGAACAAATATCTAAAAGTTATATTTTTCTAATTCATATATATGTACTGCACCCTAGGGTTTAGTATATATTTCTGAAAATACTTTCTTAATCACATGGTTCAAGAAATATTATCAAATAAGAAAGCTCTGTTTTTGTCGTTTTTTTTACAGCCACTTTAGCTTCTAATTTTTATTTGGTTTCTTTGATATAAAGATATCATGACACCACCACCCCTTGGTAGTATATTTTTTTTTACTATTGAACCAACTTCCTTTTTTTAAAAAGAAAGAAGAAAAATAAAAAGAAAAGGATCTTTTGTGTGTCTACATGTCATATGAAAACAATAACCAACCTTATCTCAGAAGGACAGGTTAGCTACCATCCAGCTCCATCAAAAACCCATTGAAATTCCAGTGAACCAAAAAATATTTGAAAAATTCATTTCAACTTCAGCTTCATATAATACTTTGACATTCATCAATTACAACTCCAGCCAAACAAACAGAGAACTAATGCAAAAATTATTAAAAAACAAAATACTGCATGAGCAGGCAGTAGACATCATATCATGGAAGTGCATCACCTAAAATAGGAAGTTAATAATGCATATAAACATCAACCTTCCATCCATCCTTTTGGCGCATTGAATGTTCTAGCATAATAACAAGGAATTTATGTATAAGGTCCTCTATGTCCCCAAGGCTCGTCGAATCAGATGATTTGCTTGGACCCAACTGTTAAAGCAAAGAATGTATGTAGCATAAATAATATTACAGAAGAAGTTTACATGTATTCACACACACACAATTATGTCTAGTTATTTTCTAAGCACACTGATTTGGAAATATACCCTTTTGCACCCATGTTCTATTAGCGTACAAGCCTACTGTAGCTCATTATGCTTCATGTTGTGCAGTAGTTGTAGCACTTCTAGTTGTTAGTTATTTATTTGTCATAATTATTTCAGTTTTAACTGACAGATGTAAGCCATCTGTCACTGGTCTGCTCTATAGGTTGAGCTCTATAAATAGAGTTCCTGCAGTTTGGTCTCTACCAATAAAATCAGAGTTTTTCTCTCTTCCTCTCTCTCTCTTGGATGTTCCTTTTCCTCTTCCCCTCTCTCTCCGATGTTTGAAGGATAGCAAAGAAAGGGGAAGATAAGAATTTTATAAATTATTACCTCGTAGTTTGATATTAGGACCTCCAGAATCCATTCAGGCCATTCCTCCATATTTTTCAGTTTGCCTTTATTTTCTGGATGACTGCAAGCCAAAAATAGAAGGTCCTGAAATCATACACAAACAGGGAGCTCAAAACTAGGGGGGTACAAAACAAGTTTTCCAGTAGGAAATATATGCTTAACACGAATTCTTACTTCATCTGACTAAATTCCAAAAACAAACATTCTATATGCATGCACTGCATTCCTTAACTCTAACAAAATATATACTTATGGCCAATACTTGCAAAAAAACAGAACTTCATTCATAAGCTAAATAGCTAATACCTGTAGTGCTCTGCTCTGTAGAGGCCTAGAGGCAAATGGAAGGGAATGCAAAAGCACCAGTAAAAGCTGTAAATGTTCAAAGCGATGGCCAGAATCATACAAGTTTAGCCCATTCTCTGTTGAAGAAGCATTGATCTGAAATGAAAAGAAAGAAGACCAAAAGAAACATAGAAAGAGAAAACATAAGCTTTCCCAAATAGATATTCAAAGGGGTTTGCAGGATTCGCTGTATTACTCTGCTATTGTTATAGGAGGAATTGCGTCATTTATATTAGAGAAATACCTCCTTTCAATTAATAAGCTTCCTCTATACTGAGAAAAAACAACTTAACCAGTGTATAATATAAATGGTCAAGAAAATTGCATGAAAACTATCAGAAAAGTGGCAGATAAAGCATGAAAGAACAAGATGTCGTTTGAATATAAAAATGTCATAGATAAAGCATTTCAATATAGAAATGCTTCGTTGAAAATATCACCACAGAGGAAGTAATTAAAATGAATGAGGCATTTGAAAAGCCAAAATCATGCAAATATTGGATAATGGGGGAATCCATTCCATACATTCTGAGAATATTTTTAGTTATTTTTGGTTGCTATGTGGAACATAGGAATGAATACCAAGGCATTTCATGAAGGAACATCACTATAGCAGCATAAAATGACATAATCCAAATGCCCGAGATTCAAAATTGATATGAACAAGGCAAGGTGGAACATTAAATAAATTTCGTAACCATTTAAAGGTGAGACAGAGAAAATATCTATAATTTAGTCACATAAAAAACAGAAGCGCATGATACCAAAAGGACATCAAACGGGAAAGAAAGAGTGAACTTGCCCATTTCATCTGATAAGTACGCACAATCCATAACCACAGAATACAAATAATATGGATAATATGAATGAATGTATAACAATATATGTAAGAACTATATCATACATAATTAAGTTGGAAGTATAATAACTTTTGCTCATTTAAAAAAATAAATACACATGTTCACATCCTTAAATATCTACACACTTAATAAGAACAAGAACCTATAATAATAATATTATAGTGGCTAAAAAAGTACGCTTATTCTAAGTAAGGGCATTGCAATCCCATTAGCATAAGAAACTTTCAAAAAATAATAAATATAAAAATAAATAAATCAGTTGTCATTTTCATAATAGCATATGATTAACTGCCACTAATATGTGTGCTTCAATTGGCATGGACTAAGGAGTAGGGAAAATGTAAAGTATGTCATACCGAGGCAGTCAATAAAGCTCGATAGACATTGTTTGTCATTAGCCTACTGGGTGCTGCTTGGAAAGCCTTTTGTAAGGCATAAAAAAGAAAAGAAACCTTATCATCAAACATAGTACCACCTCCATCATGCAGTCCAACACCCAAAAGGTTCCTTGTTGTATCTGGACCAGCACGGGAACCAAACCTCAGATACCCAGAAGCTACTAAAGCACCTAAGAGACCTACAACCCCAACAACAATGCCATCACTTTTATCAACATTATAAACATTCTTCCTAGCACTGTCAGCACTGATGGATAAACTTATGCCTCCCAAATTCTTGACAGATGGAATTTCTGAGGTAAATGTCATCCTTTCAATATTAACATCAGGAGAACTAGGATCAATGTTACTGCCACTGTCAACAGATTGAGAACCAAAGTCATTGTCTTGTAAGATGGCTTCACTTTTCCCATTGGATCCTTCATCATCCTGAAATGTTTCTATGATTTCACTGATACCATCAGTTTCATTTTTTTGAAATTCAGGATTCTTTGACAACGAATCCAAGACATCACTTTCTCCATCTTTAGCTTCTCTTTGGATCAGAACAAGAAGAGTTTCTATCCCACCACAAGCTAGGAATGCTTTTGCAAATGAGTGAGCTCTAGCCGTATTAGGCTGCACAACCAACCTGTAGAAGAGATGCAACACCCTAGCAATCTGGAAAATGAAGTAAATACAGAGTAAATTTTTCTTTAAATTTTAGATAAATGATAGAGAATTTAAAAATGAAACCAAAACATTATAAATTTATCTTAGATTGTTCAAATTTCCAAATAAGCTGCTGAAATTGAGATTAGTAATAATTACAAGCAAAAGATGTAGATTACTTCTGGTCAGACAGCAGAATATTAAGTATCAATGACCAAAGTTTCTGCTAATTTAGTTATTCAACAATTTGGGTATTTTACTAGTTAATAGCTCACAAAGTTAGATTTAGAGCATGTGATGCCATATAGAAAATAGGGTTTAGATTTTGGGGCAATTACAGCATAAGCGTCAAATATCCCAAACACAACTTTGGAGTCCACCCTCACATAAAATGTGAAGCATTGGACAAGTTAGAAGCTCTAGCTAAAAGGAACATAACAGTACCTTGTCGTCTCCTTTGTAATCATTGTAATTAATGTGTTAGATTCATAGATTAGGATAGTTTATAATTTCCTTGAATGGAGTCTTATTTTTGAAAAAGGATTTTTTATTGATAGGCAAAGAATTCATTAAGAAAAAAAAAGAGGGATGCAAATGTAAAAACAAGAGGATAACAAATCCTCAAAAACTAAACCTGTAAACCAAGAAATAAAGTCAGAAAAAGAAAACTAAAAACATCAAACATGTAGCACTGCACTCAATCTGTGATGTACCAAAGACACCAACCTAAAAGGACCTTCAGAAGAACACAGCAAAGAAGCATTGTGAACTACTGGATCCAAAATTAACTCCAAAGGAAACACTTGACCAGTGAATTTCTTGCATTGATTTAAATACTCATTTGGTTCCTATACTTGCACCAATTTTACATTTTGGTCCCTATACCTAGAAACTACCTGTTTTAGTCCCTGTGCAAGCACTTTTGATTATGTTTTGGTCCTTTCTATTAAGTGTTCCTTAACTCTGTTTTGTAAAACTGCCACAAATTTAATAGCGATAGTTAAACCACCACAAATATTCACATTTTAGCAACAAATTTGTGTCAGTTTAACGACAACCAGAAAATTTGTGGCAGATTTACACCACCAATTTTTATTTTGTGGCCATGTTAGTTAATGGAGTTAACTCACACTTAATAACAGGGACCAACACATAATCAAAATGCTTGTATACGGACTAAAACGGGTAGTTTCTAGGTATAGAGACCAAAACATAAAAATTTAGTAAGTATAGAAACCAAATGAATAATTAAACTTCTAGCATTTCTTTCCAACTGTATATACCAGACAGACACAAATTGAAAATGCAAAAGTCTTTTAGCATTTCTATTACTTCCATAACCTCTAAAATTAACTCACACGGTTTTCTATTATTTTATGCAAGGTGAAGTAGTTTGTATTAATGCAGACTTTGGTTGTAATTATATTCTTTTGTGATCATACCTTGTAGCCTAGCAAAGTTATTAGAATAAGTTCTATTTTTGTCTTTCCAAAAAAATTTAAACAATCATTTTATCTAAAATCAATTAATAATTAATAATTTGAAATTTTGAAATGTATAGGATTCAAAAAATTTGACTCTTGTTTGATGTGATTCGAACTATCAAACTGAACCAAGCTGTTCGTGAGCTTGAACCAAGTCCAATTCAAGTTGGAAAAAAAGGTTCACGTCAAACTTGAGTCGAGTTTTAATTAGAACTAAATATTATAAAGTTGAGTCAAATATTGTTAAGTCAAACCCAGTTGAACCAAGCTCAACTCAGCTCAACCCATTTCCAGTCTTAAGTTTTAACTAATGATAGTGTGCAAGTAAGAGTTTGATAGAAAGTGATGCTAGCACTCCTCATGTCTTTTATGCTATCAATTTGGGTTTTCACATTCAAAAAGGATGTTATCTAAAACTTCAGAAACTTAATAAGAATATTCTTTTATAAGAAATGTGCATTCTAAAATGATGTTGTATTTATTTGCTTCATGTTAGCATCTTTCCTAAGAACTTCTTCCATTATCCCGTAAAAACAGAGAGAGAATAAAATCATCCCATCTCACTACATACCTGACCAGGTTGTCGACAGTCAACCATGAATCCTAGTAAACATCGGACATCATCGGAGGCCAATGAAGGAGATGCTGCCACTATTAGAAGTTCAATTACTACCAAGAGCTCGTCAACCAAAGCATTGACTTCACCCATTGGTCTTGTTGATCCAGTTAGAGAAAAATTATCTACTGAATCTTTTTCAGGAACAGTCCAATAGCATTTTCTGCAGCCATCAAGAAGCATCTGAATTGCATTGGCCTCTCGCATCACTACCGACTCAGTGAAAACCATGTCGGCAAGTGATGATAGAAGCTTCTTTTGTATGCCATAACTACATAAACTCCAGATTTTTAAATCCAGCAAGAGTGTAGTGAAGAGCTGCACCTTGAGCGTATGGTTGATTTTCTGAGATAGACAAAGTGAGACAACTGCAGCAACAAGTTCCTCATCACCTACACCATCATTCTTTCCATCACAAAGTGAAGACAGGGTTTGAAGAAGATAATTCAAAATCTTTGAAAGAATCTCAGGCCCTTTGCAACGAGCCAACTCCTCATTGTTCTTCGGATGTTGAATAGCTGTTGATATAATTCGAAGTATTGGACCAGCAAGAGATGTAGTGGCTACAGACACAGAAAAATTCCCTTCCCTCGGTTCTAGAGTATCCTCATGTACATTGCTAATTGCTAAGGGAAGCAAAGATAATGGACCACCATAAGCCAATGCCCACAAAGCATCCACTGGTCGAATTCGTGTAGCAACATGAACTTGCCCAAGAACCTCAGCTGGGCGTCGAACCAATCCTGAATCATAATAAAGGAACAGCAATGCAACACATTTTACATGCCTTGACGAACAAAAGAAATTTTATCATGGTCTGATAGTTAATACATGTAATTATTATCATAAAGTTAAGGATCTGGATTTTAAATAATAAAATATTTTTCACATAATTATTTCCTAAGGTTTTAGAGGCCAATAGTTTGTCTATAGACATGATTTATGACATAACATTATGCTGTCATTTAATAATTCATGTGACAAAGCCCATCTAGTGAGAAAAGTCTTGGTTATTTTATTGGGGGTGTTGTATTTCCTACAATCAAATCATCTACGATCAAACAAATAATCAGTGATGTCAAAATTAAAAACTGACGAGAAGAAAAGAACCAGCATTGCCATGGGAATTGGTGTAAACTAAGAATATTAAGAAGGGAAGACACTAGAAACAAACAGTTCTTAAAATTTTAACAGCTTATCTTAATGTATAGTGTGTTCATAAGATTAAACTACATAAATGGATTAAGAAACTGAATACAATTAATCAAGAAGCCCAAGAAGCCCACATGACGCAAATCCTTACAAGACAGTTATCTGATGTCTGGCCAACTAAGAAAAAGTCACACATTAAAGAATCCCACTATTTTACTTCTTGATTCAGCTAATATTGCATTGTAGAATCTTTTGTATTTTCATGGTCATTGTTCTCTGCATAAATATATAATTATATTGTCTTCCACAAAGAAACTGTTTTTCTAGAAGTGTTAACATCCACTTTTTATACTAAAAACAAACATGCAACATATTTTCTTTCAGTGCATTGATAACTGAATTTAATGCAAATTCCTAACTTTGTTTGATTATTAAATTGTTGTAAAAAAATTCTAGTTAGATCATATAAATCTACAAACAAAACTTAGATTATTTATCAGGCATGAAGGCAGGAAAAATCAACATATACTTTGGCAATGGCAGAAAATTTATATATTACCGTAAAATCAACACCCAGAAATTATCTGACCTGCAGCACCAGAAGGTGAAGCATCTGGACAGAAACGCCCACTAAGCAATCTAGGATGGTAGAGTAGGTGAATGAAATCTCCAATTTCTGCATCCAAAATAACACTTTCCTCTGTGTTGCTCTGCACATGAGCATTTGTTGCAAGCCATGGTAGCCCTGCTGCATTACCAAAAGAGGGTACTACATCCCCTCCTCTAGAAGCCAAGCGTGCCATCCTTTCTGGGCCAATGGGTTCCTTGAAGATGTAAACAGGCCCCATCTCAGCAAACAAAGGGCATTGACGGCGACGGCGTTGCAAGCCAGCCATAGTAGGAGGAGGGTTAGTTCCTATGCAGCAAAATGCAAGGGGTTTGGAAATTCTAGGAAACTCAAAAGGACGAATTTCATGTAAAGATCCATCTACATATAACCTAATTTCATTTTCTGCATTCCCAAGAATTCCGTTCCTGCTTGTATGTTCAAGACCAACAAAGTACCAGCACTGTGGTCTAAATGCATAAGTAAAATGTAAAGCAGATTTCTTTCCCTTTCCACAACCAATTTCAACAACCAAAAATTGAGCATGAAAATAAGCCTCTATACCCTGATTATCAGCAGATAAAAAACTAAATAACCGTGGCATGTGTGCTGTACCTTCACCAGCAAGTGCACTAGCTGCTGCAGCAGCTGACATAGCTGATGACTTTCCTGATTTAGCAGATGCAGCGGCAGCAATTGCAGCAGCAACGGTAGCTGTATTTAGTGCATCAGCAAATGATTCAATGTAGATCCAAGTAGCAAATCCATACCCATGGATAAATGGCCAGCGACCCTCACCTGGACCAAGCAAACCAGAACTTTCCCCATCAAATTCAAAAGTGCAAGCTGGTCCACTAGATTCCTTTTCGTTTATAGCTTTTTCTAATGTAAGCATCAATTGTGAAGCCCAAATTGTGGTAAGTGTTCCTGTAATGACTTGAAACCATCTATGAAGATCACTAACACTAAGAGAATGCCCAGCCAAGTATTGTATGCAGCGGCACAAAGGAGTTCCATCCCACCTTATTTGCCCGTCTAAGCCAACATCTACAGTGAAAATTTTTTCGGCTGTTCTCAACAGAACTGCTAACAGACCAGCCATTGAGCACATTGCTCTGTTTCTAGTGCATGCCCGTAATATGGCAAGTAGTCCCCTCACCATTCGTGTCCTTGGTGACATGACAACATCAGAATCACCTATGTAAGGAAGCCAAGGAATCAATTCACCTGACACAATGGCTGCCCGAGAATTCAGCATTACACTAGGAGGATTATCACCATCCTCTTCGAAACTTTCAACACCACCCATTGTTGCAAGAAGTGAATCTACTATTAAGAAAGACACGCTCTCCATTTCTTCACCATTCCCAAGAATTTCTACACCACTTGCAATATTCTTCAGTTTCTCCATACCTTCAGGTTTTCCCATGATAGCAGAATCAACTAAGTGCAATAACTCTGCAGACGTATTTGTCGCAGCGTTTTTATCCCTAGGCTTCTGTGGAGAACATACAGGTGAACCAAAACTAACCGATGGAGCATGCTCCTTGTTTGTATGACTAAAATGCCCCTCTGACCCAGGGCTATAAGAAAGATGATCATGTTGCCTGTCAGAAACTGGGGAAGAATTACAGTCTGGTGAGTACATCCCAGATGAATATTTAAACTTACATTGTTCATCCTCAATGTCAACATTTCCTTTCTGAGAACTCTCAACAACTTGTTCCACACCCCTGTCTATCACTTCACGACTATCTAATCCATTATCAGATATTTTTGTCTTTTTTAGTTCTTCCTCTTCTTCCATTATACTACCACCAAAGAAGCTAGTAAATATTCATTCAAATAATGCAAACTCCAATCCACCTGCAAGTAACAAAATTAATAACTTCTCCAGCTAAAAACGAAATCAGTAACCAATATCAAGTGACCAGAATTCGATAGCAAGCCAAGCGCTTTGCTAAGGAATGAACTACGTTAAACATGAAAACATCAAATTACAAAATTAGAAACCAACATCACTACAAATTTGGTCAAAATTTTCAAACAATAACACCACTGAGAAGCTCTGGCTAAAGCTAAACCAAACACATAAAAACATTCTTCGATCGACACTTTGCAGAGCTATTTATCATCAACTCACAGAATCTGGAATCGCCTCACACGTTGCGAGAACGGATCAACGCAGCAGAGATGTTGGATTCACATCAAACGCGGAGACATGTTCATGCAAAGATATCACGGAGCTCTACAAAGAAAAGAATACACAGACGCGCATGCAGACAGAGATGGTTACGAAATCGGCATTGTTTGGTGACGTGAGATGCAAGGAAAAACGAAAGGTTGGAATGGATGAATGGAGCGTGAAGTGAGGTTGAGATTTGATCGAACAGAAATGAGAAGGAGATAGAGAAGGCGAATTGAGCGCGAGAGTGAGGGTGAAATTGGGATTTAGCAAAGTGATGACTATGTGGTGAGTGGTGTTGCCCGGTCAAATATGAAATTGTGAGAAACCAACGGTTGCTTGCTGGCGCGTTTTGTTTGCTGTGTTTTGCCTTCCAGTGAATTTTCCTTTGGTCGCGTCACACAGCTAATCCCGGGTTAAAATTAAGGCTTAAATATGTTTACATTACTTTTAATTAGGTTCATTTTTAAATTATTTCTTGTTAAAATTTTTTTAATTTAATACTTGAGGTTAATTTTACTTTATTAAGTAATAACATAATTGATAAACTGCTACATCATCACCCAATAATATTTGTCGCGCTATTTAAAGGACTATCACGTGGGCATTTAGATGACGTAACAGACACTATTAAATAATGACGTGATAAATACTATTAAATGATGAACGTGCAGTCTATCAATCATGCCATCACTTCCCAGAGAAACTAATATCACATACTAAGTTGAAAAAAATTAATTATGTATTTAATGTTCAGACTTCAAAGTCATTTTTTTATTAAACTCAAATTATAAAATTTGAAATTTTGAATCAAGAAACATCCCTAATTACTACTACTCGTTTAATTTTGTTACTTTAAAATATATGTCTGATGCATTTTAATTGATAATTATTTGTTTTGTAAATAGTTTTTATAATTTGTTATTGGTAACTCTTTTTTTGTCCGAAAAAATTCTTAAATATTGTAATAAAGTTTCGACTTAATATTATTTATGTAATAAAATTATACTTTTAATGTGATAAAAAAAATTTTAATCTTAAATATTGTTTATTGCTAAATTTAATTCATATTTATGTATAAAATCTATATTTTGCGCTTTTCAAGTTAGATTTAAATACTGGTTGAGATGCATACAGTTGAAGACAAACTGCAGATGATCATGATCACAGCAAATGATTAGCCTCAAGGACCGGAAATGCATCATTTAGATGTCATCACAAAAGCAATTCATTTCCGAGATTTTGGACAATGTTAAGTGAGATCCAAATATAATTTTAAAAGATTTTTTTTTAAAATGAGAAAAGTATACATTAGTTTTTTTTTTCTTTGTCAATATGTGTAATCTTTTATTTTATAAAAATTAATAGCAAATGTTTTTTTTATAGTAGCTAGCCTTACTTTGAGTCAGATTTTGGGCAAGGATTGCTTCGATCATGGCTTGCATAATGTACAACCTCAAGCACATCAATTCACACTCTCTCCAAAACTTACAATTTATTTCTACAAAACGTGATTAATTAATTTCGTCCTCGCAACCAAACTCCAAGCATATTCAGCTAGTCAAACATGGTATTACCTAGCAACCTAACTCCCGGTAGATTCAGTTTCAGCACAAGTGCATAACATACGAAATCAACGAAACAACATTTCCAAATGTAGAGGAATTAATGCTCGATCATCCATCTAATGTCCGTCTAGCTGGCAAAGATGGGAATCATGAGAATAATTTACGTTAATAGTATATATAGCGGCGAATATATGAATACTTATTAATCTATTAATAATATAAAGGAAAAAAAATTACAATTGTGACATCCATCTATTCCTAAGAATGATATATCAATTTAAACTCGTAAAAATTCAAACCCTAGATCCTAAACCCTAAACCCTAAACCCTAAAAATTCAAATACATCCTCATTGAAATTATAAATAAATTATTCAATTTATTATAAAATAAATAAAACAGAACATAGTAATAAGCAATAGTAAACGAAGTAAGTAGACTTACTCCTGAAGTAAATGAATATTTCTATATATACATACATACACATACACATATATAAGGGTTCAAACAACACTAATAACTTTTATTAAATATTACACCGTTCAATAACTTTATATTAAATGTGAATTTTGTAAATCCAACCATTGAATTATAATTTTATATCACTTGATATATTTATATCAAATTTTTTTAAAATTAAACAATAACTTGAAAGTAATCAAAGTGTTCATATTTTATTATTTTTTGAAATGTATATATTATGTCAATTTTATTTTATAAGAATGAAGTACCAAATCATCTTGGATTAATATAAAATTTTGTATATATGATTTAAGAGTAAAGAAGTTTCAATCTAATGATTAGATTTATAAAATTCATATTTAATATAAAATTATTAACAAGTGTAATACTTAGTAAAAGTTTATATATATATATATATATATATATATGAAGAAGTTGTGAAACAATTCAGGAAGAATAAAGCTGAGAACTAATTGGAAGACTTCATTTGTGTCACAAATGAGTATAATTGATTCTACCCGAGCTTAATCTTATTCTATGCATCATTTGATCCATTAGCACGAGTTTAGGGGTAGAGTTAGAATAATATATATAAAATCTTATATTTAAATCTTGTTAGTGTTATTTAATTGTCATAGATGACATGAGCATAATTGATTCTACCTAAGCTTTAACCTTATTATATGCCTCATTTGATCCATTAACATGAGTTTAGTGGTAGAGTTTTTACATTTAAATCTTGTTAGTTACATTTAATTCATATATATATATATATATATATA